CAAGGTCATCTGGAGGTCATGCCCAGGTCATCCCAAGGTCAAATTCCGATGAATTTTATTGAATTTTCAGGTTTATTCAATGAATTTTTCCCTACTTGACCTTCAAATGACCACGAACCTGACGTGATGGAGGCTAACGGACTTCGGATTCGCATTCAGCATGTCGAATAACATAGGGATATATAGGTTTGGTTTAATATGCACACACTTTTTTTTTTTTTGTAAACCTGTGTAATCTATTTTCCATATCCATCTATTTAGCTCGCTATAAGCACAAATTTTTCAAAGCAGTCGCAGAAGAAAGTATTAAAAATGAATTACAAAAACTAAAATCGAAAAGTGCTCTAAAGTTACAGGTTCTCCAAATTCTGAAACAACATGAAATATGTATCTGGTTTGGCTTGTAAGCGCTGTTTAAACAACGATCTCGCCATTATGCTAGATTCTAATTGTTTTTTAAAAATACTTGACATCCGCATTCGCATTCGCATCCGCGGATGTTAGCTGTTAGATATTCGCATCCGCATTCCACATCCGCAACAGCCCTGTTTCCAACTAAAATTTAGTAAATTGGCCTTGATAAAATACCACTTCTCCTTACTGTGGAAAATGCTTCATGAGAGCTTTAGATTATAAGGTCGAACTCGGCTCTCCCTTTTCCACTAAATGAAATTTTTTTTGTCAGCACTTATAAAATAAATCTCCATAACAAATTTAAAATATTTCCAGAGATTTTCTATTCTTCCAGAGATATGTATTAAGAAATTTTTAGTATGTATGGGAGGCGACATGCCTTTTTTAATAACTCACATTTTTTCCATGAGCAATTGATACATTTTGCATACACAACTCCATACCAGTATTCTTCCACAAACACTTCCAGGGATATGTTACAAGAAAAAGTAAATTTGTACTGGAAGTGCCAAGCCCCTTTTTCTTATAACCCTAATCTTCTTCCATGAATTTACAATTGATTTTACATACCCCAGCACCAAGTCCCAGTACTCTACCATGAACACCTCTTGAGATATGCGGTATAAAACAGTAAATTTGTACGGGAGGTACCATGCCCCCTTTTCGAATAACGCAAATTTTTCTCCATGAGTATGGAATTAATTTTGTATACACATCTCGGTGCCAAGTTCCAGTCCTCTGCAATAAACACCTCCAGAGATATGCAGCCTAGAAAAATCTATTTGCATGGGAGTTGCCACACCGCCTTTTCCAATAACTCACATATTCCTCCATGAGTATGGTATTCGTTTCACATACATACATATATATGTATTTCCATACCAAGCTTGAGCACTTTAACCCAAACATTTGAAGAGATATGCAATATGAAACTTTCAGTCAGTAACGTCAAAAACGTAAATTTTTCTCCGTGAATATGAATATGATTTCACACAGTGTTGGCAAAATGTTAATCTGATTAACCTTCAAAAACTAACGATTAAAATGATAATAGCGTTTGACGATTAAAATTAATTAGTCGTAATCAACTGTACGATTAATGATTAAATTTTTTTAATCGTTAATTACTGGCTGCGATTACGATTAATTTATTTTAATCATTAATCGTTCATTCAATGAAAAATAAAATATGATAAAGTTGTCTAGTTTGTCTGAATTTGAAACCAAACACCTGGTATAGAAATTATTTTGTGTTTTATGCTTATAAAATGCACATAATACAAAAAATATAATTATTCTTATTAGTAATACATAAACTGGGAACTTTTACAAACCTAGTTTGTAAAACGTTTGTTGGTATAAATCTTAATGAAAATGCAAATTGCTCAGATTGATGAGGAGACCCGACTTAGCCATACCGGATTAACTTGCTTTGTGTAAACAGGAAAATTCCAGCATAAATTAATTAATCACCAAACCCACTTGATCAAATTAAGAGTTAATTATTAAAAATTAATTTTTTTAATCGCGGTTACGATTAGCTGTTTAGTCTGATTAAAATTAATCATGATTAACTGTAATCAGATTGAATTTAATCGAATTAACTAATTGATTAAAAAATCAATCGACTAATGCCAACATTGATTTCACATACATATCTCTATACCAAGTTCCAGTTCTCTCCCACAAATACTTCCAGAGATATGTATGTAATATGAAAATTCCAATTTGTATGGGAGGGGCCTTGAGTTATCGGACTTACTTTCAGTCTAAGACCATCCTTCCTAAATCCGTAGTAAGTGTACGTTCTGATCGGAAAACCGGTTAAGGAAGTAGCCTATTTTTCAATCCAGGTCATAAACCATCTTTGAGCAAAATTTCATTTTCAAACAGGTGGCAATTCTTAAAAAAGTAGCCTATTTTCCAGTCTAGGTCATAAGCTATCTGTGTGCAAACTTTCATGGAAATAGGTCATAAGCTATCTCTGTGCGAAATGTCATGCAAATCTGTTCAGTCGTTTCCGCGTATTAATTTAATTAAAACTTTTTTAACAGGTGGCAACTCTTCCAAAAAATTAGCCTATTTTGCTCTGTAGGTCATAAGCTATCTGCTTGCAGAATTTCATGCAAATCCGTTCAGACTTTTCCGCGTATTAATTTAATACAACTTTTTAACAGGTTGTAACTCTTAAAAAAGTAGCCTATTTTTCAACCTAGCTCATAAGCTATCTGTGTGAAAACTTCCATGCAAATCAGTTCACTCATTTCCGCGTATTAATTAAATTAAACATTTCTAACAAGTAGCAACTCTTAAAAAAAGTAGCCTACTTTCTAACCTAGGTCATAAGCTATCTGTGTGCAAAATTTCATGCATCCGTTTAGTCGTTTCCGCGTATTGATTTAATTAAACTTTTTTAACAGTTGGCAACTCTTCCAAAAAATTTGCCTATTTTCCACTGTAGATCATAAGCTATCTGCTTGCAAAGTTTCATGCAAATCCATTCAGTCGTTTCCGCGTATTAATTTAATGAAACTTTTTTAACAGGTGGCAACTCTTAAGAAAATAGCCTATCAACCAATCTGGCCCATAAGCTATCTGCGTACAAAATGTCATGCAAATCAGTGCAGTCGTTTCCGCGTGATGATTTCCCAAACATCCAAACATACAAACTTTCACATTTATAATATTTATATAAGAAAGATAAGATATGAGATTTACAGGAATGATTCGGAATTCAATTTAACAATTAATATCGCTGCCAAGTTCTGCTCCGACAAATTGTATCGCAAATCGCTAAGAATAAGCTTAGTGCTGAGAACGCGTGCTCTACACTGACTTGTGTCGGTGGCACTTGATGTATAAGACATGCCAGATCTCATAGTCGGGGAAATACATATGTATATATTTTTTACTCTCCCAGTAATCCATAAGGTCCGTATCAACATCAATGCGTTGCTCCTTATGGTGAATACCACTATTGTATTGTGAATATGTAAACTGCTATGAACAACAACTGCGAAACAACAAAAAAGTCAGATTTAACTTTTATAATGGACCGAAAAAATAAAAGTCAAGTTTTAACTTTTATATTTGACCGAAAAAATAAAAGTAAATTTTTAACTTTATTTTTGACCGAAAAAATAAAAGTCAAATTTTAACTTTTATATTTGACTGAAAAAATAAAAGTCAAGTTTTAACTTTTACTTTTGACTGAAAAACTATCAGTCAAAAAATAACGGCAATTGCTGACTTTTTTGAAAAAAATAAAAAAAAAGGAATCATATAGGATAAACATTCCTTGGCTAACAAGCATCACATTGCTATATACAAATGTTAAAAAGACCAATTCTTTCCGACTGATTTTTGAATTGAAATTTGTTACGTAGCAGCATGGTCGAGCCAGGCGAGGCGGCATGCAGGCATGCTTGCATCCCAAGCTAGCTCGTCGTCGGGGTGGGTCATTTCCGCCTGCCTTGCTGTTAGCTACATAATCAAAAAAAGTTAATCATGCCTGATAGTTTACTACGGGAGACAACAACAGGAAAGATAAATAACTTAAGAAAAACAGGGGAAAATAGAAATGAAGAAAAAGGTCCAGTCCCGTCCTGTCAGGTGGAGTCATCCCGCCCTTCTTCAACGCGGACTCCACGTGAGGCCTTGGGCGTCGTCGTGACTCCTCCTTTACTTTACGACGCCCCCTAAACCTGACATTAGTCCGTCTCTATAAGAATTAGTCGTCGTCTAGTCCATTGTCTTATATATACACCCCCCCGCCAAATACTTGTGCCTAACACACCATCTTAATCCCCGAAAGCTATTCAGAATTCTGTTTTCTCAATTCATTTTTTTTATTTTCTTAGCCTAAGGCACAATATTAAAATGCTCTTAACTCTAGCCCTAATAAGTATCGAAATTCATGTATGTATGTATGTACATTTGAATACGGAAATTTATCAAAAAGAAAGAAAAAGGAAACCTACCACCCTAATATACTAATAAATACAAATTCCACAATTATAGCGATTTATCAATGCAAACTACCCCCGCTAAACTTACTAACGACCTCTTTGTATTTGTTTGGGTCTGCCCTAGGGTCAGTTCAATAATGGTTATTGTAGCTCATTGGTTATAATGTTCTCCAAAACAAAAAAACTCCGAATAATTCCAATACCTCAAACGTAAATCAAAAGACAAAAAAAAATATTACCGCGGGATTAATGAAATCTTCAACTAGACATGCAAGTATATAAGTATGATTGGTATGTACGTAAATAATCACACATAAGTGCAAATATATGTGCATAGCAAGATAAAAAAATTTCTGTACTCACTTTTGGTCTCCAGCGATGGTGGTACCAACACCCTGTTAAGAACCTGTTTGGGGAGAATCTTTATATTTACATATATGTACCAATAGTCTTACATACATACATATGTACGTCTACAGCTAATTAACTGAGGTGTCAACCTATTTCCCTGCCGATAATGTTATCACTCGCTCGTGTTGCGGGGCACCGAGCGGGTCATAATATACGCGCGAAAAAGAAACACAAAATGCGGATCTACTATTAAAACAAGGCCTACAGAAAAACTAAATGGCAATAAAAGTGAACTTAGCTGTGAACTTAATCTAACATTCGGGTGTAAAAGGAACCCATTGCAAATAAGACTAAATAAAAACTTAAGTGAGGAAAATAAGGCAAAAAAAAAAGTAAAAAAAAAATTAAAAGAGCACGAAATCAAAAGGCTATGGAATTCAATATAGGAGCCTAGTGATGTTTAAATGCAAAAATCTATAGCTACTTAATGTAAACAAACCACCGAACTTCAACGAGAAATCCCAGGCTAATAATTACAGCGATAAAAAAAATCCATTGTTCGCGAGAAAAGCAATTACTAGCAAAATTAGCAAAATTAATAGTAAAATAAGCAAAACAACTAAACGGTATACAACAAAAAAACTTAACGCGGAATAGCCGAGCGAGGTAAAAAAAATCCAACC